GGTCTTGATAGCTGGTTACCAAAAAGTGGGGGAGGTTCATGAACCACCTGAGGGACGCTTCCTTGAACTTATTGGACAAGAGCTTGCACTTCAAGGATTTGGAGACAACTATGATGATCATCTGCGTATTAATCATGATGATGTGTTTCTAGGGGTCGCTTTTCCCATCAAACTTGACTAGTGAAGGTGGTTTAAAGTTTTCTGGTATCGGGGCCCCCTAAATCTCTTCATAGAGAGGCTGGGTTCCAGGACCTCATCCTTGACCTTGACGTCTTCATGATATTGCTCTTAAAGGGTTATGGCGTTCTTCCACAGGTCTTGGTTGGAACAATACAACTCTTCAATAACACGGACATCTCTACTAAGGCCTCATTGTTGTTGATACCAATGTTTATAGATGTTGTACCACCTCTTTGTGTCACCATGTGGAAGAAGATGATTAAGCCGAGTGGAAATCAGATGCAAGTGCAGCCTAGGTTAGTTTTACTAAGATTCTATGGTGAACTCTAATTGTATTAGTAAAAATATAATGAGGATGACTCTGCTTACAAAGGTGATCGCAAGAAGGACTGTAAGCTCTGATTATGTGAATCTTGAATTCCTTTACCAGCCCTAGAGGTTGGTTATTTATAGGCATCATTATGGGTCAGATCTTGGGAAGGAAACAATCTTTTCTCAACTTCCTAATGTGTACATGGGAGTAGGGAAGAAGTGGTTATTCTTTCTAGAATGGAGGAGTGGTTTCCTCATTTGTAGATATGACTAAAACGGTCCCTCTAAGGAAACCTCATTTTCCACGTATTGGAGAGGTGGATTAGCGATAGGCATGGATATTCAAGATAATGCCCACCCAGTTTCTCTATCGGCCCATTTACAACAACTTTGGATTGATTAGAACATGAGTTGCTTCTCTCTAGGGCCCAATAAAGCATCTTAATCCAAACATCACTCATCACCACTCTCACCATTATCAATCACCATGTCATCCACCTCATATCACCAATCTGACCACCAATCATCACCATCGAATTCCATCATTACCCAGATTATGGTCATGGTCGACCATCACTTAAAACAACATTGACAATCATTGTGACAACCTCTGATCACCTTTTTATCCATATGTTATCTTATATTTAACCACCATTAACTACCACTCTTACCGCCACCATCTTCCACTCTAATCACTGTCAATCACCATTCTAACAATTATCAACCACTATTATAACCACCATCATCCACCACATGACCACTATCGACCACCACTTTAACTATAGTTAATCACAGTGTTATCCACCTCCTATCATCAATCTGACCACCCCTCATCACCACCGGCTACCATCATTACCACGATTTCGACCACTATAAACCACCATTATAACTATCTTTAGTCGTCATCACTCTGACTACCATCGACCACCACCTATAATCACCATTCTAGCCATTACCAGCCATCTCTCTAATATGTATCTACTGACATTCCTCATGTTTAACTAATATAATTAAAAAAACTACAAAATCAATAAATTATATATTGTAATATTTTATGAGAAAAAGAATATGCATTGACAAAGTAAAATATTATTTACACTGTCAACCAATGAAAGATATCATGTCAAATCATGCTTTTATTTTTAAAATAATGACATAATATGGTTGAATAATAAAGGCAAAATATTTTTTTTAGTCCTGCATGTTAACGTCAAGGTTCATTTTAGTCTCTTAATTTAAAAAAAAATCATATTGGTCTCTTAACTCTTCAAAATGCTTTATTTTAGTCCTTTTGTCTAATTAACGACAGAAAAACTCAGAAATCGATTGCTAAATTCGTCGCTAATTAGACACAATGGACTAAAATGAAACGTTTTGAAGAGTTAAAGAGATAAATATGAACATTTTTTAAGTTAAGAGACCAAAACAAACATTGACGTTAATATACAGGATCAAAAAGAGTATTTTGTCAATAATAAAATATTATTGAATGATAATGTAAAACTATTTTACACCGACACCGACAATACCTTTAATCTCTTTATTTATTTTATCAATATAATGATGTGAATTATTTGAATTAAAATATACCTATGATATTTATTTTCATGTTTAAAATTAATTTAATTTTTCAAAAATTCGTAATTCAAAATTAAAATTTTTAATTTTTAAAGTTTTTTTTTATAAAAAAAACTATCATATTATTGAAATTTTTGAAACATAATACTACCCATTTTGGGCATAAGAAAATTTCTATTTGCATACCCTTAATGTTTCTAATACAACGCAACTACTCTAACTTATCTCTCCCCGTCAAAAAAGTTCTAATACAATTCAACCACTCTTTGTTAAACCTTCTTGGTGCTACCTTTCACATCATATATTTTACGTTCTAAAAGTTAACCGCTAAAACACATTAACAGTTTCGAAATGAAATCATAAAATGCGCAAATACGTGCAGCTTTTCAAAACAAGTTCACTACCATTCTTACGAGAATATAAATATGTATAGTCGATTCTTCTTTGTTCCTGTATTAGACAATTAACTTTAATAATACATAAATATGTTCGGACTTGGCAAATATTTATCTTGTTATCCCTTCAATTATATTTGGCATTTCTCAAAGGATATGGAAAGATTATAATAATTCAACACAAGTTTTTTTACCATTTTACCAAATTTACGGCTAAGAATAGAAAATTTAGTGATATCGGAAATTTGAAGGCGGTATCGAAAATTGTTAAGTAAAAAGTAAGAATTTCACATAAATTTCAGAATTTTCGAGAAAAATTTACGGAAATTCCATAATTTCCGAAATTTCTTACTGAAATTTAAAAAATTCCTATACTTTTGTAGTATATTTTACTGGAAATTTTGAAAATTTCGATAGTTTATAATTTTTTGAAAATTTTTAGAAATTTTGAAATTTCAAATAGTTTATTTTTTAACTTCTTTTTTTTTGCTGTTTTGTTTTTTTCTTTTTTCCAGTGAGGATCAAGGTAGGGACTCTTCCATTGAGGGCATGTAGACTGATAAAACAGAAGTTCAGGTCAAGACAGATGAGACAGAGGCTTCCCAATCGACTGTTGGGTCACACCCTCGCCTATATCACACTCTTGCCTCGTACCACTGACTGTTGAGTCTTCCGATGTTGTGGGACCTTCTGGTGCTAGGGCTTCTCTGAGGTACAAATTGACGATGTGTCACCACCATCACCACCTTCACCTGCCACAAATGACCAGGATAGTCGCTTCCAGTTGATTGTAGTTATTGCAGATAACCTCATAGGTTTGATAAACCCGGATGATGAGATTTTTACAGGATTATCTAGGCTAGAAGACATAGTTCGTGGGAGACCTATGTAGATGTATTATTTGTTACTTGTATTATATGTATATTTTGTGTCTCAAAATACTTACGATACTTATTTATTGTATAATATTTTGGTGATTACATGTTTCGATTCGAAGATTAACATAACATAAAACAGTACAAAAAACATAAATAAATAAAAAACTAAACATGAAAACTTAGGTACTACCAGATGATTCTAAACGTTTCATCATCTTGATATGTCATCGACAGATCTTGTTATCTACGCATCTAACTCGATCAGACTCTTAGTTATCCTACGGCGAAATGATTTCCACATGACCTTCACATCTTCATCGGTCTTCAACTCAATCACGTTGTATTTCACCTTCCATTTATATTAATTCAATCTTTCTGAAACTCGATCTTTCTCATCATTCTGTTATCGGTATCAGGCAGCAATTTATTCAACTTATCTTTCAAGTTAGTGAGGGATGTGGTGCCATCTGAAAGCTTGAATTCAACAGGATGATTGTTTCCATTGAAATATACTTCTGCCTTAATCAGAAATTGAGGAAGAGACATTTTTTTAGATGTCTTTCTCTATAACATAAGCTCATATTTATACAAATATGAATTCATTCTAGACCACACAAATTTATCAGTGCAATCAGAATTCAGAACCCTACAAAGATGTCTGCAAAATTCTGATTGTCAAAAAATTTTGAATCAATACACTATCGAAAATTTCATCATACAACTAAAATTCTAGTACAGAATGATAGATTTTGAAATTTCCGAAAAAATTGCCTCTTATCAGAAATTTTAAATGAATTACCGAAAATTTAAATATACCAAAAATTGCAAATGAATTATCAGAAATTTTATATATACCAAAAACTTTCACTATTATACCAGAAATTTCGTTCGGAAAAAATGTTCTTTTACCAAGGATATTTTTTGGAGTATGAAAATATGGGAGGTGTTAGGTATAATTGAGAGGTGGCAAGTTAAATCTTCCACAACGACTTAGCAAAGCCTAAGCCCTTCATTGGATGTGATTTTGTTTCCACAACTCTGCTTTGTTCATGGCTTCATTCATTCTTCTCTACACAGCTCTATGTGCTTTCATCTCAAAGATGGCTATGTTACTGGCATCCTAACTCAACACAATGGAGTAGGCTATCAGAGAAGGAAGAGTAAAGGGAAAAAGAATGAAGAAATATTTCAGAAGTTTACTTTCCAAAAGGATTAGGAGAGATTGTGGTCCCTTCAAAATATCCGATAAAATTGAATGATACAAAGAAGATTATGAGAGATTGTGGAAGTTAACTTCTGAGAAGAGTATTATGAGCAAAAAGGGAATGCAAATGGCAACTCCCATAACTTATTAAACACTAATAATATAGTTAAAACATCTCAGGAGCCAACTATGTTTCTAGGTGCTCCAGTGTCTAAACATTCCATTAAATATACAACAAATATCTAGATACTGTGAAGTTTCCCAATGCAAGTTATACCCTAAACTAAATCAAAGACAAGAAATAGATACTCTGAAACCAAATCACTAATCAAGTAATTCATGGTCAAAACAAAAAGGAATTTCCAGTATGTTATCTGTAAAAGAGTATGTTATCTGTAAAAGCAGAAACGCAAGATGCCTTCACAAGGTTGAAATTTATTCTTCTTTACTCAACTAGTCAGTCTTCACTCGTTTTGAGGGTGGTGCGGATAACTGGTCAAGTTCATCAGTAACTTTAGCATCATCTGCCTTTTGCTCCGCGCTTGTGTTTGGAGTGATACAGTTGATTCCAATCTTTTCATGACCCTCATTTGAGTTTTCAACATTTTCAACTGGAGAAGGTACTGCGGCACTAGATGACGGAGCAGAAGGCTCGCCCGACTTGAGCTGTTGCTCAAACATCATCTGTAGATGCTTCCCTTGGTTCTCAATTTGAATCTGTAGATTTCTTTGAATCTGCGTAATAATTTATTTTAGTTATAATAACAGAACTCGCGGTCATCTTCCTTATAAAAATGGGGAGATAAACAACACTCCTTCATCCAAAGATTGCACAGTAAAAGACAATGAACTTTAGCAACTAAAATATACCTCAAGTTGTTCATGAAGCCGCTTTTGGAGTTCCATCTGTAACCGCAATGCTTCGGTAATGCCCTTAGGCCTGCATAACAACAACCAAAGTATGTTTCTAAACATTAATATTTAATATTTCATCTCCATGAAATTTAAGTGATAGGAATAGCTTCAAATATTGGAAATGAGGACAACAGTTATCATACCATAGCAAACACTAGATCTGTAAGAATCAGTTTTTAGGTCATATCTTTGTCATAGGTTATACATTAAATTCAAATATACGATAATCCCTCCGACCCACAATATAAAAAATTCTAGCCAACACAAATTATCTTATTTTATATGTCCTTTTACAATCAATATCAATGAAGCATTAAACATTTACACTTTGCTCTATGCATACAATTTAGGGATGTCATTGTCACCAAAAAAAGGTCAATCAATACAAAACAAATAATTTCTAGATAAGATGGGGAGGGGAGGGAACTCACGTTTTTAAGTCTATAGGCGGCATTTCTTCGATTGAAGTCAACTTCTCTGGAATTCCTGTAGGTAGTGAAGAAAATGTCATTCATACCAGTAATCTCAGATTTATCCAAAAAAGTGGTGCAAATCCATGTGATTATTAAGTGTATTTAAACCCTAAAGAGAACAAGCAACAATACATAACAGCAGGTTCGACTATCCTGGAATTAAAGGAATTAAGGGATCAGGGTTCAAACCCCGGTGAAAAAAATCAGGAAGCCCTAAAACATAGATACAAATAAAAAGCCATCTGGTTTATATGAACATTAAATTTCCATATAGACTTGCACATACCTTCTGATGCTTCAGGTTTGTATCTGGCAGTTCTATATTTCTGAAATTAAAAGAACAATAATTCATTAAAAACCTTTGACTAAAACACACACCTATAAAAGAGTTCCCAAGTAAAGAAGAAAAATAAAAAATGTACCTGCAGGTGGCTTTTCACATGATAGATGGTAAGGCCCTCAACTTTCATCAGGTTCAAGACACCCTTAGGTGTAGCCTCTGCATATGAAAACCATGAGATAACAAGGAAAATCTGTAATGAGAAGAGCAAGAAGCCCAAATTTAAGAAGTGAACATACTCTCACTACCACCAAGCTGATTGACTGCGTCCACGAAGGCCTCGTGAAGTTCAGGAGTCCAACGCATTCTAGGCTTAGATTGTGAAGTAGTCGATCCAGAAGAATTAGGAAGATACTGCTGCAGTGAAACTTGATTCTCCTGCAGTAAAACTTGATTCTCCTGCAGTGAAGCTTCATTAGATGGTACATACTGCTGTAGTGAAACTTGAGCCTCCTGCAGTGAAACTTGAGCCTCCTGCATCAAGAGAAAATGGTACGTTTGTACATTTAGCCATCTTAGGGATTAAAACAAACAATAAAAGAAACACATACAGGGCAGGGCGAAAGGAAAGAGGGAATGAACTAGATACACATACTTATATGCATATGGCAATGATAAATGAATAAATTTTTTTAAAGAAAATAAACCTAAATGCACCAAAGCAAATCATACGCGTGCTTATGTTATAACGGCCTCAACTGGATAGTTAGAAATAACGAAACACATACCACTTTGAAATCAAGTTAGAAATACAAACCTTTGCTAATGGTTCTGCCATATTATCATCACCGAGAAGTTCATTCCAATTAGGAGTAAGAGAATCATCATCAACCGACATTAACTGATCAACCCACTCCTTGAACTCAGTTGTCTTAGCATTTCCACCCAAGACATCAGAACCACTGTATCCCACATGATCGTTCTGGATTGTAACATTATCAGGAAACGGATCAAACAGATCCGTTCCCCAGGTTTCTTGCAGGATAGGCATATCTTGCGGGATAGGCATATCTTGCGGGAATGGCATAGAATGCATTTCTGAAGCAGGAGAAAAAGAGACGTTATCAAGGAGCTCAGCAGGGTTTGAAAACATGTGTCCGGCAGTTCTGTTGTTGGAATTAATTGATGTAGCTCGCATCGAGGACGAGGGGTAAGATGAAGACATAGCTTCCACAAAAGGGTTCCAAGTGAATCAATCAACTTTGTACGACCTGATTTCAATATGAAAAATAAGTTGTATATTGCGTCAACTTACACACCCTCACTCTGTCTGTATAAAGTATAAACAACTTAATTTAACATTAACAGTATAAACTTAATTCAGCTTGAAATTACAAAACCACCACACGAAAAAGAAAAAAAACAAATAGTAGTAAACTAATGCTTGCTTTGCAAGTGGAATATATTCTTAAGAATTATGGTAACAGGTAAAATTATGCAGATGAATGCACAATCATGACAACGTTGAGTTTTGCACAATTCACATAAACGAAATTGAAATTCAGAATTTAGTTAAAATCAGGATGAATCACAATTCACTGCAGAATCAGCGTTGAAAACCTAATATAGTGAAGTATCATCATCTACGATATATGTAATAAAACTGAGAAAAAGAAAAGGAACAAGAATGAATTGAATTTGAATAGAGAGAAAATGATATGAAACAGTGAACGAACCTTGACATGGAAGAATGAAGAAGAAGAAGAAGAAAAGGTGCGGCAGAAGGGTTAATTAATTAAGAATATTTATATTTATATATATAAAATTAAGAATTGAGGATTATGGTTTGGCTTATAAGAGGAACGAGAGGGCGTAGGTATAGGAAAACAAGGTTAACCCCACTTTATGTTGATTTTGATTTTCACCTTTGGATCTTTCTGTTTTGTGGAGAATTAATGTTTTTTTTCGCCTCCACCGTCAGATTCAGATGTATCTTCTCATAAATTGTTGACTCTACTTTTTTCTTTCTTTCTTTTTAATAATTGTTTTAATAATACAAGAAAATATATTAAATGTGTTGGTTTAAAATATAAATAGATTTGAATTAATTATATTATACATCCTTTTATAATAATGAAAAAATTTAAATTTATTAAATAATTGAAGTATCTAATATATAATAATGATTGGATATATAGTTTATTCAATAAATTTAAAAAATTTATTTAGTTTATAATAGTAAACTATAATTAGTAATATAATTTTTAAAATATTATTGATGGGCAAATGTGTTTTGAATAAACAACTGTTTGGGATGACATAAGAAAAATGAAATAATAATTTTATTTTGATTTAGTGTTTGTTCATTGGAGTTTTGTTGTGATTCGATAAAAATAAAAGAAATGGAAACATTTAATTTATTTAAATTAGAATATTTAAAAATAAAATGATTGTAAAATATCATAAAATTTAATATATTAATTTATTTTTAATAAATTAATTATAATTTTATTGCAATGATAATTTTATCACTTACATATATATAATAGAATTATTTATTTGCTCATGATATCAATCAATTTTTTTTGAATTATAATGTTTAAAAATATTATTTCAATAATTAGCAATAAATATATATATATATATATATATATATATATATATATATATATATATATATATATATATATATATATATATATATATATATATATATATATATATATATATATATATATATATATATATATATATATATATATATATATATATATATATATATATATATATATATATATATATATATATATTGTAATTTGAAATTATATTAATATAAATATCATGTATATTTAATCATGTGATTATGAGTTATGTATAAAAAAATATGATACGTAAAATAATATTATTATTGTTGAGACATAATCTCTATTTAAGTTTCAATGATAACAAATTCAAATAATTTAAATTTAAAAAAAAAAATTATTAGCTAACTTTAATTTTGAGTGATCATGTTAATACAAGTTTTTAATCCAATGATTATCAATAATTATAAGGTTTTATACTGGTTACTTAAAATAAAAGTCATGCGTTGGATCAGAATTGAGGATGATGTCAATCTTGACCCAAGTTAAAATGCAAACATTAATGTGAATGCATTCAAATTCAAATCATAAATATTTGATATCTGATTTCATAATTGTTCAAAAGAATCGTACATCATAAGAAATGTGAATTAAATTTAAAAGAATGTTAGAACGGTGTCATGCATATCTTATAGAATATTTTATTGCCTTACCACATTTTTTATAAAAAATACCAAACTACCGCATATTTCAGTATATATATTAATATATCATGGTTTCAATTTTTTTTGGTTGTTAACAAAGAGCATCCGCCTTTTGATTTAGCAATTTAACGGAAGAGTGAAAAAAAAATCTCCATCCATTCGATTGACGAAAATATGTTAAAAGTTAGAAGCTCCGCCCATTGTTTCGATAGAAGCTTTTTAAAGGGAATTTTTTTTTAAATAATTATTATTTTTAAATAATTTTTATAAAAAAAATTCATCAAAATGATCTATTTTCAAATAAAAAATTTTTGCCACACAGAAGAGTAGTCACTCGGTGTAGCGCATGCATGTATTTTTAAGAGGAGACGCCACACTGCATGGTTTGTTTTCCTTTGTAAAGTCATGCAGTGTGGCGCATGCATGTGTTTCCAGAGAGGAAGCGCCACACTCATTGACTTCACAGTGTTTTTGCTAGATTTTTTTTAAATAAAATAAAAGTAACTAAAAAAATATTATATTAATATATAACATTACACAACGCATGAATACATTTTTTTGGACGTCCCTTCAACCTAAACGGGTTCCACTATGACATAAATGGCTGCACTTTTGCCTCGTCCCTTGTCTCACTCCTCTCTATTGATTTACCTGAGGTGTTTGTGGTTTGTTCTGACTCGCTTGATTATAAGGTGATTGATGTGATGGTCCTGGTACATCAGGATCATACATCTCATCGATCATTTCGCCTCTATTGTGTTGTGCTTCCAAAGAGATCGGTGCCCATGTTGTTGAAGTTTGATCTTGTTGGTTGGGATATGTGTGGGTGGGGTGGTTGATAGTATTGGGATATTGAATCATGATGGAAACGAAGCAACGGTTCTTATGGTGTATGGAATTCGTATGATGGTTGGGTAATTCGATGGTGTGATGTTTGACTGTATGTAGATTGGATGGTATGGTAGAAAGGAGATGTATCATATATGTCTTGGGTGTTATGATAGGATGAGGATGGTGCATATTGTTGGTGGTGGGTCGGGTCATACTCTTGGTATTGTGTTTGTGTGTGTGGTATGAATTGATGACGGGTTTGGTTGAATGAGGTGGTGTATGGTTGTTGGGTTTGAGTGGGTCGACATTGTGGTTGGGTTTGGTATTGTTGAGGGGTTGGTTGTTGGGTTTGGTATTGTTGAGGGGTTGGTTGTTGGGTTTGGTATTATTGAGGGGTTGGTTGTTGAGGTTGTTGTTGGGTGTATGTTGCAACTCTTTGGCGTGGATCGAACAAATATGTCTCTTGAGACAGAAATAAATTTGTTGAAACTGATGTGTACCATCTCAAATATTAGAGTGTTGGTTTTAAGTCATCTTGCAAGATCGGGTCCCTTAGGACCAATTCACGTATATGCCTTCATTGACGACATTGATTTTTAGCGAAGTCTCTCAAATCGTTAAATCCCCATTGATCGTCAACTCTGAGTAAATGCCACTGGCCCAAATATGTTGGAGAGTCGGGGATACCCTATTTCATGTTGAACTGTAGCTTCACACGATCAATGTGGTGCATCTCCACAGTAGTGAACCTAATGAGTGTTGTTTTTGCAGTCCAGACTTCAGCATCAGGAGGGTTAATCTCATGGTCGAGATCCTTATACGGCCTCCATACAAACTGTAGAGGAAAAAAGTTATATAAAATATTAAACTTAATTAACCTATTGAATGCGTTGTATAAAATATGTAAGTTTAATACCTCTTCGGGTCCAACATGATCAATAAGATTTCGGTAGACTACTATTGCGTTTCTAGGGGATTTGTTGTAATTCATCCCAGGAACAGACCACCTACATAGAAAAAATGGGTAATAAGTTGATACACTACATGTCTCAGTATATAATATGTAAAATTTATGGTTTTGTAATCTTACTTTGTAGCAAAGGGGAAGACGAATGGCCTTGTGTTGCGGGGGGGGGGGGGGGGGGGGGGGGGCGAGTGTCGGCATTCTCGACCAGCACCATGTCTGGAGCACAAAGGCGCAAGAATAGAAAGAACAACTATCGTTTGATGCATTTTTATACAAGGAACTATACAGATGGGTCAAAACAACAGAACCCAAACTATATGTATTTATTTTATCAAATTGTGTTAATAAGGATAAATACATGATATTAACAGTATTACCCGTTGTTTCATGAAATAAAAAATGGCCAAAATAATATCATTATGTAACACCGAGCTTTCACAATTTTTTCTTGCTCGGTAGATTTTTCGGTTATTACGAGACTACTATGATATTCTCTAAGAAGACAGAGATTAATACCTTGACCTCTAGACCATTGTTCAAATAAAGAGACTCCTAAAAGTTCCTCGCATATGCCGTTGTCTTGGTTGACTCGGTCATTGACAGCCTTACCATTGATCGGTAGACCGAATAACATGTACACGTCCTCTAGTGTGACTGTACATTCACCACATGGAAGATGAAATGTGTGATTTTCGGGTCTCCATCTCTCCACTAATGTGAGAATAATTTTATAGTCAACATGGTAATTGACTATGTTGAGTAACGGACCAAAATCGGCATGTCGTAAGTACGGTTCAATTTAAACGTCATAAGGGACATACTCACGAACACGACAACGAAATCTTTTAACATCCTATTAAAAACATGAATTACGTATAAGAAATACAAGATTTACGTATAACAATCATAAGAATTAAGGGGGGGAAATTTGTCGGCAAATAATAAGTATTGAGGAAAATACACTTACAAATGTTTCAATGTTGTTCGGAGTTCCTCTATGTTGATCACCCATGGTCAAGAGAGACATTTTTTCTTGATTACTCTTGTGTTGTTGATACTTCAAGAAAGAAATAATGTGTGAGTTATGATTGTGATGAACATATAGGGTGAATGGTACATGTATTTATAGGAAAATCTTGAA